TTGCTGGACAGTATGTGGTGGGCTTGGTTGCAATATGAGCCAGGCTTCCAAAGGGTAGAGGCTGAGAATATCCAGAATCTTTCTCATCCGTTACTCCAAAAGAGCTAGTGTCAGGGCCCTGACAACTCCAGGGAATGAGATAACAAAGGAAAGAAACAGATAGTTTTACGATGACACAAGATTCCTAGTTTGTGATCATGTGATGAGTAAAATGATAATGCCTACCAAAGAGGGAGACTGTGCCAAGAGAAAATGATCAGAACTTAGTGACCCAGTTGCTGCCACCTCAACTTGCATTGTTCAGGGAAGTAAAGAGGCTAGACCAACATACACCAGCAGAACCTGGAAATCTCCCGGCGAGAAGGATCTGCCCTTCTAGGATTTTAAGATTCATTTGAGCTCACGTTTCCTTTCTAAAAGACTAGTGCCCCAAGGATGTATTCTTGCTTTAAGTAGATTACTTTCACAGGCTGCACTCTTAACATCTCTAAGACAGGGGCTGCACTGAGAGAATGTGAATTCTGGGTGAACTGCAAATCAGGAAATGGTGAATTATGATGCACTTTGAGGGAGGGGATGGAGACTAGGTGGCCTAGGGTCCTACCCTGTATTGCGGAAGGGAGTAGGGAAGAAAGAAAGGGCCCCCTCCCTCTCCCACTGCCTCTTGGCTGGCCTACTCCCACTAATTCTTTAAGATTCAGATTAACCAACTTTAAGATTCAGATCACCAACTTCTCAGTCTTGCCCCAGGAGATTTAGGAACTCCATCCTTTGCACTCTCACAGGTGCTTATATACATATTTCACTCTAATATGTTTATAGCTGCATTTCTTCCACACACCATGAATTCCTTGAAAGAGGGATCAGTCATTGAGCCTCTAACATAGTACCCAATAGGATTAAAAAACTATTGACATGATGAATGAGTTTATCACGATTAAAATACTTCACCTTGGCTAAACAAATTACCAGTGTTAATAAAATAGATTTCTTACATAAGAAAGGTATTTCTAAATAGCATGGGGAGCATACATGTTGCTATGCTACTTCAGTGTAACTTTTATATTCATTAAGTAAGTTCCTTTCATATTTTTCTAAATTAAAATGTTGCCCAGTTAGTTTCTAAAAACACGTGGTATTTTTTCATTCATCCTGGCATTTCCCCAAATTAGACCAAGTTAACAAAGTTTATCAAAACTGTGCAAGCAGGCCTTCATTGAGGTTTCTGCTTTTAGCAGAGGCAAGAAGGAACTAAACATTTGAAAATCCCCAGAAGGAAAACTGGAAGGACTTCCCTGCTAATTACAGAAGATTATATGGACCAAAAAATCACAAGGGTGGTCAAGCAAGTTCAGGAAAATTTTGATGTACCATTTGACACATAGCAAGCTAGCAAGAATTTAAAAAATGTAATATCCCATGGGAACCAGGTTTGGTGAATTGAGAACACGCCCTTGCTGCTAGTGCAGCAGATTGGCCTCTTGGGGAAGGTGGTATGACTATATGTATGAGAAGCCAGGAAGATGTTCCATAATCCAACTCCTGGAAATTTATCCCAACACAATATGCAAAAAGACGAAAACAGGTCATACACTTCAAAATGTTTGTTGTTTTAGTAATAAAAATGCCCCATTTCTGCTAGTCTAGTTCTTCCCCATCACCCTTCCAGGTATGTGGCAGAGTCCCTTCTGGGTGTCTCGTGTCCGGGGAACCTTGCAGGGAGGTGCCCTCATGGGCACTTGGAAAGCCTTGGGTCTCAGGCAAGGCCAAGAAGTCAGAGCCACTCCTGCAGTTAACACAAGGCTCCGCTCACACTTGACTGGGTATTTGCCTTGACTCCTTCAGTGATGCCTCTTTTTATCTGCTGCCCCCTGGGCCGGTACCAGGGTGTGTCATTCGGGAGCTCCCTTTGGCCCCTCCCTTCTTGTCCTGCCCTCTAGTTCCCACCTGTACCATCTGCAGACTCCTCAAACTTGAGTCCGTGGTTCTTCTTTTCGCACCCCCAAAAGCATCCTGAGGCTTTCGGGAAACAGTAATGGGTGATTAAACCAGAGTCGAGATTAAACCTTAGTGACCAGACCAAACCAACTAAGCTAAACAAAAAACTTTTCCTTCCCATCCATAGAAGGTAGGGAAGAGGCAGGTGTTTAGAAACACAGTGTAAGATCTTTCAGCAAAAAAGTAAAAGGAATTTTAATTTTTTTCTATTTAAGAAAACAAAAAATAAAAAAAATAAAAAATTGGGAAACACAGTGCCAAAATCTTTAGAAATGGAGATGACCTCCAATAGGAATTGATGAATAAATCAGTGGTCTTCAAACATTTTTGCTCACATACACGAAATAGTATTTATCCTCTTGCATGTGTCTAGGTTAACATCCAAAATTTTTCATAGTAAGTTCACCAATTGCAAAGGATGCAATTTCCTCCATGCTGCAGACACTGACATTTTAAAATAGGACAGTCACTCGTTAAAAATGAATCCAATGAAATCTAAATCCCATAGCAATTAAGCCTACTTTCAACCATTTAAAAAATACATGAACAAATTCTTCTTTACCTACAGTCTATTTTACATAATTTATTTTTCTGTTCATACTTATAACTCCATTCCACATCCCTATCCCTTAGGACAACATCCTAATTTAATGTATTTTTATGTTTGAATATGTTTTGTTGATCACCCAATTATATTTCTCTGCAATGAAAAAATATTTTTACATTTAAAAAGATTTTCAATTTTTTATGAAAGATTGTAAGTGCTGAAACTTTCTTCTAGACTGAAACATAATATTTATTAGTAATAACCAAGTATTCAAAATGACACAAAATATATTACATGTTTTAATGATTAAATATAGGTAATTTTTTACAATTAGTGCATGCATTTGTTGTTAGATAATACTTACAATAGTGAGACATAGTTTAACATCACCATTTTCTCAATTTTTCATTTTTATGAATTCTAAGAAAATGTTTTTACATGACTAAGTAGATGGAGTTTGGTCATACCAACGTCACTCAATTCTTTGAATTCCTCCCGATGTATAAACTCTGTGATCTTAAGGTCATCCTTTGTTGAAAGCAGTTATTTGGAAATCATCTGACTTGCAAAAGAATTTGTTAACCCAGTCTTTAGAACCATACACTTTCTCAATACAGCACAGTATTTTAAATTGATGAAGAGCTGACAAAAGTTGCCTGAGGTTTCTAGATCTGGAACTGTGCACCATTTTAAGATTCTAAAATCTTTCTTTTTGCAATTTGGGAAATACATGGCTATTGTGAAAGAGCTGGGAAATGAAACAGGGAGACACTTTGACTGCATTCTTTCACTAGCAAATCAGTTTTAGGAAATATAGAGATGCAAGTTGAAGACTCAGAAACTGGTGGCTTTAAAACTATCGAAGTGTGCACCTACCCTTGAAAGTCCCCTAGAGGATGCAGATCTTAGTTTGAAGACCACTGATGTAAATGTTTACATCTTACTGAATTTGGTAAGAGAAACAGGTCAGGTCTGGTTAGACCTTGATGGGGACACTGCACACTGGTATCTATACCTTGGGAGCAGAGAACTGTGACCTGTACAGTAGAGAAAAAACAGCCAGTTCTCCAGTGACTGCATTGGGGTATGGGTGGGGACTTGATAATATGGGTAAATGTAGTAACCACATTGTTTTTGCATGTGAAACCTTCATAAGAATGTGTATCAATCATACCTTAATAAAAAAAAAAACAGCCAGTCCTTTTGGTCGGTTTATCTTTATAGATGGCTGCTCTCATCCTTTATATTCTGTTCATCTGTATTTTCTTGTCAGTTGTAGTAACCTTAACTTCAGTTTTGGAGTACTGGTGTAGAGCCTGTATACTGACTACTTAAGGGAACTATTATGTGGCACTTAAAAATGATTACAAGACTATGAAAACATGAGAAATCTTTAGAGTATCATAAAGGAAAAAATTATAATTAAAAAAATTATAATTAAAACTACATAAACTTCTGGACAACACTATAAGTAGATATGCAAAAGTGAAGTTGGTTTTTTTTTTAAATGTCTCTAATAGTGCATAATTTCTAAAATAATGATGATTAAATGTATGATGCTGTGGCAGGGCGGGGCGGGGGCGTTGTTCAGATAATCTGTCTATCTCTATTATTTTCTTTCTCCCATTGGTACCAACGAACTGTGTGTATTATTTAAATTCTCCAAAATAAAGTGTTCAGGAGACGTTAAGATCCGTTTTTCAAAAAGTTTCTTACCGTGATTCACCATGGGTGTTAGTCTCTGAACATACTCCTCCACCTAGTTGAATACATTCCATGTCTTAACGTCAGGAATTCCAGAAGTTTATTTTCTCTGTAGAAGTGGCAATTCTTAACCATATTAATTTTTTTTAGTTTTCTTTCATGTCCTGGTTTTACTGTTCAGAAGTTCGACCTTACTGATCTCTACTGCTTTTACGTTTTACCATTCCTCCTAGCTTCATATTTATTAGAGTCCACATTTGTAAAAAACGTCATGTCTGACAGCCTCCAAAGTGAATCTTTTTGTCAAATGTGTTTTTGTTTTGTTTTTTCGAGATCTAATTAAGTCGGTATATCCAGGGCCCAAAGGAAGGAGAGAGGATCCTAGCCGGAGAGCTCCTAAGTGAGTGACAGAGTAATAATACCCGTTACCACCCATCGGGGGACTCTGGAGGTGCGACGCACGCTGCCAGGAAGCTTGTGCCCCCACCGGCCGGCGGGACCCGCCCGGGACCCGCCCACAGCTCCCCCACCCACCTCCGCCGCCGCGGCCCTGCGCGGCCCCGCCCCCTCGCGGCGCCGGCCCCCAGCGTGCTGCACGCAAGCGCGCCCTCAGCCGGACTCTCGGCCCCGCCCCTGCTAACCGCCACCCCCCTACGCTGTCGGCCTCTCTCGGCCCTGAGGCGCGGCTGCCACGTCAGTAATGGGAAGCCGAACTTAGGTTTGTCCGGACCCCGGCCGCAGCCCAACTCACCATCCGCCGCAGCCGTTGTGGTTCGCGCACTCTGGGAGGGCGGGAGGAAGCTCGGCGGGGCGGGGCGGGGCGAACGGCGCGGCCGGATTCATTCCTGTGGGGCGCGGGGCATGGAGGAGCTGCGCGGCTGCCGGCGGAGCAGGGCGGCCTGGACGGCGGCGGGGGCGACGGTGGCCGTCTGAAGGGGGCGGCCCGAGCCTGAGCGGCCAGCGACGGAGCGGAGAGACTCGTCCCCGGGCAGGTAGTGGCGGCGGCGGCCTGCCGAGCCCCAGGCCGCAGCCCGAGGCGCCCGCGGGGAGGCCCGGGCGGGAAGGGGAAGGAGGGTGCTCCCGGCTGCGGATGGCGGGCGGAGGGTCGAGGCCGCAGGCTGGGCTGCGGGCCGGGAGGGGTCGTCGTCGATCGAGGCGCCGGGGGAGGGCTGCCCGTGTCTGGAGGAGGTGGAGGTGAAGGTTATGTGCGGCGACCGCGGTTGGGGAGCCTGCGGATCCCCCGGGGACGCATCAACCGAGTGCCGGTGAAGTTAGCTCAAAGGCAGCGGATTTCCTGAGAGCGTCGAGTAGTAGTTTTAAAGGAAAGAGCCCTTCGGGTGAGGGTTTTGGCGTTAGCTGCCCGCGGTTTGTGGTGTCCGTCCTTTTTGTTCCTCTTGAAACTCATCCTGGCCACAATGAGGCCTTCAGCCTCGCGCCCTTGGCCCGCTCTTCTCTGCAGATGTGAGAAACATTTCTGAACCCGCGTCTCCTGCCCCTTTCGGTTGTACTTTTCCGTGGCGTGTGCAAAACAAAACTGGAACAAAGCTTGGCTAGTTAGGAGCCCAGAGAACCGGTTGCCTGAAGCGTTTAAATTTACCGTATATAGAGAAAAGTCTGCCTCCCAAAAATCGTTTGGGTCTCAGTGTGTACTTTTTACCACCTTGGTGTTTTTTTGGGGGGTAGTAGGGAGTAGTCCCTAAAGTATGGCTTTCCATAAGGGTGGAAACGTAAGAAAACCTAAATAGCTGTTTTTGCCTTTTCCTACGGAAAATTCAAAACTGCTACTTTTTTTTTTCTTTCCCTAGTTTGGTGGCCTGGTTATCAGACGTTGGAAGGCAGTAGGACAGAACATACTCTCCGTGGTTTTATATCCATTCTGGGGTTCAGAGATTAACATTGAACTTTGGTTCCTGTATCTCTTGCCGGTGTCGATAGAGTTAAGCTGGAGCTTTGCTTCGAAGGATAAAAAGCACAGCCTCTCAACTGGACATAAATGGATCTAAAGACCGCAGTATTTAACGCAGCTCGAGATGGCAAGCTCCGGCTTCTCACCAAATTGTTGGCAAGCAAATCCAAAGAGGAGGTTTCCTCCTTGATCTCTGAAAAAACAAATGGGGCCACGCCACTCCTGATGGCCGCCAGGTATGGGCACCTTGACATGGTGGAATTCCTCCTAGAGCAGTGCAGTGCCTCCATAGAAGTCGGGGGCTCGGTCAATTTTGATGGCGAAACCATTGAGGGGGCGCCCCCGTTGTGGGCCGCTTCTGCAGCGGGACATCTGAAGGTGGTTCAGTCTTTGTTAAATCACGGAGCATCTGTCAACAACACGACTTTAACCAATTCAACTCCTCTTCGAGCTGCTTGTTTCGATGGCCATTTGGAAATAGTCAAGTACCTTGTAGAACACAAAGCTGATTTGGAAGTGTCAAATCGGCATGGGCACACCTGCTTGATGATTTCTTGTTACAAAGGACACAAAGAAATTGCTCAATATTTACTGGAAAAGGGGGCAGATGTTAATAGAAAAAGTGTTAAAGGTGAGTAGTTCAACTTCTTCATTTTTATTTTTTAAGTGTTTACCATTTCTTTTCAGGAAGTGTGATACATAATTATAAGCAGTGGTGTTGAGTAAGCCAACACTGACAGAACTGTTCCCATTAGGCATTCCTTCCAGTATAAGCTGGTTGGCTGTTTCTCTGCTATTTAATAATACACTGAACAAGTGTGATGAAAAGACCTCTGTCACTGTGTTAAGAAGAATTTTCTCTCTCTTAACTTGGATGACTTCTAATTCCTGGGAAGGGGGTTTCTCAAAGTTACAGAGCATGTAGTGGCAGTTGATCTGAGCCTTCAGGTTTGTTTTTAATCTAGTTGAGAATATACTTGAAAGTGATGATTTTTCTTAGCTCTAATTTTTTTAGAACACCCTTGGAGTAGAAACTACTATATTTAGTCAGTCATTGTCTTGTTTGTCTTACGTAGGCATTTCATTTGTTATTCTGTCAGGGAAGACTGGGCCAAACTGACCTGGAAGGGTTAATATCAATGGAAAAGGAGAAAACCTGTTCCCTTATACCCTGTTTATTTTTTGACCAATGGAAAATCCTTTTAAATAGAGCATGAGTTAAATACAGCATGAGAAGACATTTTTAAAACTGCTGCTGTACTGAGGCACAGCAAGGACTAGGTCAAACAGATGTGGTTTTGTTGACTAGCAACAGTGTATGTACCTTTGTCCAGAAGAGCTCAGGTTGACAATTGTGTATAATTTCCAGCAATTGTCATAAATTTAAAGCAGCAAATGATACTTTAGAATGTTCTTCAACCATAAAAACAACTTTTTATTAACATAATTTGGGTAGTTGAAAACCTTATATTCCTTAAATATACAACAGCCAAGTAATTCACTGCCCTATCTTAAATCTTAAAAGTAGCATACATATATGGTAGAAAAATTCAGACAATACAAATTGGTTTACAGTGGTCACAATAAAAAAGAAGTCTTAGCACCCCTGACTTCCAGACCTCCAACCCATGGCAACCACTGTTTTACAGATTTGTGTCCTAGAGGTAGTCTATGTAAGTCCGAGTTTACTTGTTTATATATCTCTCCCTCTTTTCCCTCTGTTAGTTGATATCTACTGTTCTTTTTTTTTTAATGTTTTTCCTGGATGTCTGATTCAACTCCCAACACACAGAGCCTCCCCATTCTGTTTGTGGCTACACAATATTTCATTGTACGAATGTACATTATTTAGTCCCTATTGCTGAATAGTTAGGGCACGTCCAGGATGAACAATGCTGCTGTGAATATTCTTGAACAGAAGTGTAGCTTTGCACACTTGTATGGGCATAGCTGTATTATAAATATGTGTAAGCGGAATTGCTGAATCAAAGTGAATGCATTTATCATTGTGGTAGTGCCTGATTGCCTTTCAGACAGGCGAAACCACACAATCACGGGGCACTATCTAGTAACTGGACATACTATTGAAGTTAGTATGGCCTTTAAAAAAAAAAGGTTTGTTATAAAAATAAAACGGGGTCAGTGTTATTTTCTGTAAATTGTTTTTCAGAGGAAAATACAGAAGTCTCACAAAATTCCCCACACTGATAGAATAATCTTTCTAAACATATTTCTGGAATTTTACATATAAATATATGTATATGCAATTTTATTTTATGTTCTGTATTTTTAACTTAAGAAATGTTATGTTTAATGTCATTAATTATAGCTCTCTCATTTCAATACCTGCATACTCTTCTAATGGAATTTTTGTTGCTTCTGGCTTTTCAGTGTGATAAAATGTGTTTCTGTAAACATTATTCCTTACAAGCATTTTCATTTGTTTCCGATTATCTTTTCTGTAGGTTGTTAGTTCAAAGGACAGCATGACTTACTTTTTCTTTTTTTAGCATGGTTTTTTTAAAGAATGCTTGTTTTAAGAGAACAAATTACTGCTGCAGTGACCATGTTAATGTTAATATTGGCAGGGCTTTGAAATCATTACTGGAAGAGAAAGGATTAAAAGGTGTGGTGGCTTGTTTAGGCTTGTTGGATTTTTTTGTTTGTTTTGCACTTTATATTCATCAGCCTCATTATGTACAGATTGTTGATAAACTCATTTAAGTTAAATTGGAGTATGTTTTAAACTCAGGTCATTGGAGAAGTGAGTACTAGTACTATTTCATTATGTTTCTCAAAGCTGCTTTATATGCTTCTTCTAGAAGTACAATGTGTGAGAGAATTAAACTATAAATAGGTAAATTGTGAGCAGTATTTAACTAGATTACCTTTGCTCTTTCAGAAGAGTCTTCCTTTTAGCACCATCATTGTGTAGCCTTGTGTCTGAGGATGTGTACACTGCCTCTTTTAAGCAGATGGTCTGCCAATTCTAGTGTCATTTTTTCCTCCAAAATCAGTATCTCATAGTCATGCTGATATAAAATATCACTTATGTACTATCACTTGTGGTACTTTTGCCTTTTCTTGGTGTCTACTCATTTCGACTGAGAATCTTAATGAATACTGAAGTACAAATGCTCCCTCCCCCACTCCTACCCTGAAGCTTATATTCTTTGGTAATTACTCCCTCATTGACTCTTCAGATTTTTTTATGGGTTAAGGAGTAATAAAAAAGCAGGAACCTTTTGAAACTGAGGCAGTAACACAGGTGAAGGATCTGGTAGAGCATCAAGGAAGATTTTTCCCCACATTTTTACCCCCATCCAAAAAGTGGAAAATACTGTTAATGACTAGGGGTAAAATGATTTTTTAGGAAATTTTATAAGTCAGCTGTTGAAGGAAGAAAATGGCAATAGATTATACTTGGTCTATTTAAATATAAAATGCATGTGATGTCTATATTCCATTACTTTTTAACAGGCAGTTGGCATTTGAATATATTACTAAGCCTCTTTCCATTACTTTTTAACAGGCTGTTGGCATTTTGAACATGTTTTAACCTAAGGCAGAATTCATTTATTAATTGAGAGAGCATTTATTGAGTTTCTCAGAGTGCCAGGCTCTTAGACTTAGGATATACAGAGATGAGTAAGATAAGATGTCCAGTCCTTGATTCCTTGCTCTTGAGGAGCTCATGGTTTAATTGGAGAGACAGGTTCCTTGAGAGCAGCTACTTAAATCACAATATGGTAGGTGCAACAGTAGTGCTTTCTTCTGTTAGTTATTTGGAAATACGGTATCCCCAACTGAATCATTCCTGGGGGGGCCGATGGGTTCTTTCTTTTCCCATGGCGTTCAGAAAGGGGAGAAAAACAGATATTTAGTAATACTTCTCCAGTTGATTTTTGAGACAGGAGAGAGTTGGTTGCTTTTTATACAAATCAAAAGTGATTAGACAGGCCCACCTCAGAGCTATCCCATTGATCTCAGCATTTCACAGCTATAGTTACCTTTGGCAGAAGCTAGGGTGGATGGATTCTTTTGACTCAGAATAGGACTTTTCAGATCTTTGATTAATTTCCTTAAACCCTTCAGTTCTGCTGTTACACCCAAGTTCGACTGGGAATTGAGCAGCTGAAACTGAGTGATTAAGACCTATAGATCAGTGAGCAGCTCTCTGAGTTGGGATTGGGGAGACAGGCCCTAGACAACACACTCTCCTCATGCATGGGTCATTTTAGATACCCAGGGTGGTTAAGTGAATTGGCAAGAGAACTGTGCATTTTCTGTAGGCAGGGGATTGCTTTGGATGTTGTGGAGGCTATGAAAAGATCCAGTATGTCACATTTGTTAACTGCTAAAGGAATATGGTATAAGACCTATGCTGTAGGATTTTAAGAGTGTACTGACTAGAAAGGCTGTGTGGAGAAGTTGAACTGGGCCTTGGAAAGGAATGTTGGGGTTCACATCTGCAGAAGGAATTTGATACGGTTTTTAAGGCTCAGTAAATGGCACCAGGGAGGGCACATTAAGAAATGTGCTTGGAGGGTCCCAGAATTGGGAGGTAGACATCTGTGGACCAAAGGGCTCTCAAGGCTGGATTATAAGGGACATTGATTCCAAGGCAAAGGAATTTGATTTTATTCTTTATGCAGTAGTAAGCCAGTGAAAGTCTTCAGTAGAAGAATAAGGGATTTTTTCTTAGAGAAACCCATGTAACTATATTCTAATACTGTTGTTACACTTTGAGCTCTTTGAGGCTACAGACTGTTGTTTTTATCTGTGCATTAGAGAGTATCTGGCCCATACTGGATGTTTGGTAAATGAGCTTGTTGAATAAATGTTTTGGGTTTGAGAGAACAGGTTATAAGCTTCTTGATGGCAAGATCTGTATTTTGTAGCCATTTCAGTATGGAAGTAAATATACACATAAAGGCTTGAAGTAAGACATTGAGGCAGTACTTGTGAAAAATCAGTGATGCAGATAGAACTATGTAGAGGCTTAGAAAAGGGAGAAATCCATGTAGGCTCATGATTAGCATAACTAGCTTTAAAAGGGTTCGAGAGAGACCTGGTTCATGTAATTTATTTGCCTTTTTAGTATGGAAATATTCTAATTTATATGTTAGTGGTGAGGGAATACCACTATGTATTATTCACTTTGCTTCTTGTTATCCACATTTGCCAGTTTTTAAAAATACATTTCTCCCTCCTTTCCTTTTGTTTTCTGTTGTAGTTTAAAGCAACCCCCAGGCATTATATCATTTCTCTCCCATAATATAGGCATTTTAGGGTATAGATGTATTTCAGTCAAGATGACACCAAGAAAAGAAAGAAATCCTTTTCTTTTTTTACCCACTGCATGCAAAGGAATTTCAAATAAGAAAAATCTCTCTTGTAAATAAACAGTTGTTGGTATTGGACAGAGGTAATGACTTGCTTTTAGATAGGTTCTTCCACTGTACTACAATCCCAGAGGACTGGAGGCTGAAGGTCACCTTTCCTTCTTGACTCAAACTCTTCTCAGCTGTTAACACATGCTTACAGGGAAGAGTAAAAGAGACTTAGATTTCATTCTATTCTGTAACATCTGTATGTATTTTGGTTTAATAATAATGCTTAGATAACTTA